CATCTCCTCTAAGTAGCATTCTGTGATAGGTTAGTGGACCACATCTCCCAGCCACGACTGTGAGCACTTCATTTGGTGACTGTGTGGGTGATGTTTTTAGGTCTATTATTTGCTTATTGATCTCGAAAGGCTGACAACAAACAACCTAAGTGAAGAGGTTACTTTGGCTTCTAGTTTAAGGGGATACAGCCCATCATAGGAGAGAGACATGGCAGCAGGAGCATGAAGTTGTTGTCCACATTGGACCCACAGTCAGGGAGGAAAACCTGTACAGGAAGTGGACTACCGAAGCCCTCATCCCTCACCCCCAGTGACTTGCTTCCTCCAATGAGGCTTCATAGCAGCACCATGAGCTAGGGACCAAGTGTTCAAATGTATTAGCCTGTGGCTAACATTTTACATTGACACTGTAACAGTTTTACATAGTAGTAAGCATCAACTTTTAATATAACAGAACTCTGTATTTTAAAATCAAGTGATGGGGGCTAAGGAGAGAGTTCAACAGGTAATGTACCTGTTATGCAAGCTTTAGGATCCATGCTAGACCTCCATCATCCAGAATTGGGTGAGTGAGATGGATGGATGCCAGGGTCCCACCTGCCAGCCATTTTAAGAAAATCAGTGAGCACCAGGTGGAGTGAGAGATCCTATCTCAAAAACTAAGGTGGAAAATGATTGAAGGAGATACTCAACATTGACCTCTGGCCTCCACACACATACACACATGGCCCTTCACATCCCCATACAAGTGCGCACACACACACTCACACACACACACACACACACACACACACACACACACACACACACACTGGGGGAATGTAGAAGAATCATGTAAATAATAGGGTTTTCACCATAACTCTTGGTGCCCCAAAGAAGTTACACTGTACAGTAGTCTACAACAGGGCAACCCAAGCTTAGTGTTTTCTCAGTACAGCAGCTTTGAAATGAATCATGTCTCTTGACAATTATTTTTCCACTCACAGGGATTTACACTGTTTAAAAGTTTTACAAATAAACTGAATTTTTACTAAGATTGTGACATCAAAGTATTTCACATTTGCATATTTAAAGTTGACACATGTTATGACGGCTGTGGACTGTAATAGGCAAGGAGGATAGACACTGAGCAAACACAGTGTAAACTCATGCTGCTCTAGAAGACATCAGAACTGGAGTCCAGGAGGATGAAGAAATATGGACCATCTCTTCTGTCTCGTTTCCTTGGCATTTGGTAGCCAGTTTCTCTTCCTATGTCTACATCCCCTGAAGCTGAACCTCTTCCTCCATGTTGGTCTTCTGAAGCTCATTGAAAATTAATACTCATTATGATATTAAGATTATGACCATGTGGGATCTTTAGGAAGTGAATAGTTGGAGGCTGGGGATAAAGTTTGGTAGGAAAGTGCTTGCTGTACAAACATGAAGGCCTGGGTTCGATCCCCAACATTCACATAGGAAAAGCTTACAGGTGAGACAGTGTGTGCCTGTAATGGTAGTGCTGGAAAGGTGACTACAAAAGGCTCCCTGGGGTTTTCTGGCCAGTCTAGACAATGGATACTGACATCTGGCCATGTGCACATATATACCAGCATGTACACACACATACCTACATATATACACACACAGAGGTGATCGAGGCTCTATCCTCATGCATGAATGAGTCTATTTAAATAATGAATGAGTTAATGGCTAGTGAATTGTTGCAAGTGGATTCAGCATAAAAGCTGTTTTGGCTTGGTCCGTTGTGTATTCTTTTTACTCTCCGTGCAACACTCTACATACCTTCAGACTCTGCCAGTAAGAAGCCCATCACCAGATGCAGCCTCTTGACCTTGGATCAGAACCAGAGCCAAGATATAGTCCATCTTCATAAGTCAGCTAATCTATATTATGTTGATAGCAATGGGAGAGAAAGACAACTTCCATTAATTTGTCGTATTGCATAATCCATTCTTACAGTTCCCCTCCCTTTCCCAAATCTCCTGATACCTTACCCCCATCATAATTTCATTATGCTACTCTGCCTTCTTTAATTGGAGAGTTCCATTTTTAACATGGAGCTTTAAACCTTTCACAGCAGAGGCTCCCCATAGATGACAGTTGTCAAGAAGGTGGTCTCTCCACACAGCCCACACAGGTCAGCCACACAGCCCACACAAGTCAGCCAGCCTAAGAATGTGGCCTGTGTCTCACCATGAGTAAGCTCTTCCCTCCGTCAATTCTGCAACAGTATAATGTCCTCATAACTGCTTCACGTGTACTTTCAAGAGTAAGCAGGTATCTTATTGGAGGGAAATGTATTTTCTCACAGCCCTGGGGGAGGAGGGTGGAAACACAGGCTAATTCTGGTGGGAGCTCTCTTCCTTGCTTGTGGTGTCTTCCTTGGCAGATGGTACAGAGATCTCCTTATAAGGATCTAATTCCATCATGGAGGCACCACCATGTAGGGCCTTACCTCAAGCTCAGGATGTCCCAAAGGTCTGCCCCAAACACTTTGAGACTGACTGCTTCAAAGCAGTAATTGGAAGGTTTGTTCTTTACTCAACAGTGGGCTTTGAAACTGTGTGACTCATGAGATTTTTTTTGAAAGTATAAAGTGATTTACAAATTTAAGATTTCTTTTAAAATTAATATTGTTGCTTTTTTCCATCAAGTTTCTAAACATTTTCCCCAGAGTCATGGTTTCTAAGGAAACCAAATTCTTCCTGAGCGGTATTCATAAGTCTGCAATGTGAGGTTTAAGAAGTAGAATCTTAAATGTGCAGATAGTGAGGCTAGTGACAGCACATACCATCTACCGATGCTAATGCTTCAGCTCTCACTGCTCTGATGCCCTTGGCCATGCACATATTCTCACTTTATAGACTCCATCAAGACCTTAAATATCCCACTGCAGAAAAAGCCCTTCCAAGAGTAGGAAGCTGGGCAGATGATGTCCACGAGGCAGGGGAATGGGCAAGGTTGGGTTGTGGGATGCTCACTCAGCAGGTGAGATGGTGGGAAGGGTAAGGATGGCTGCCTGTCCTCCAGCAGCTGCAGAAGAGACAAAGTGATGACAGGATGGCCAGCGACTGGAGGGTGTCATTGGAAAGCAGAGCAATATTAATGGATGAGGAATGTCTTTTACCCCTTTGTAGTTGATGCTGCTTAGCTATCACCAAGTGTGTAGACTCATGCTGTTGACTCATGGGCACCTGGGAAAAGCTGAGTGAGTGTTGACTAATTAATGAGGTGAATGCCTGCAGGGCATCCATGCTCACCTTGCCCCATTGCTGCTGTCTTCCTAGGGTAGTACATCCCCTGGTTCTGCAGAGGGTCAGATATTGAAATGCATTGCAGTTTGAGAACCCCTTTTATTTCTAGAAAAACAAAGAATGTAGAGAATTTAATATCACTTCCCAAGACAGGAATTTTTGGGAGCATGGCTCACTGAAGGATAGATTGTTTAGACAACATGGTTATCAGAAAATACTGTCATCTTTGTTGCTTCTTTTAACTCTTTAGGTTGTTTTTTATTTCTGCTGAGTGCCTCTCCCATCTAGACAGTCAGTTTGCTTTGCAAGGGAAGCATTCTCCAAGCACATTATTGCTTAGAAAAACTACAGGTAATGGAATAAAACTCGAAAGCATAGATCTTTTATAGCTACAGTTGTTTTATTTTCGTTATTAGCTTTTTACAGAGACAGTTTCAATGAATCCATTATTCTACATTAATTTCCATGACTTGCAGAAAGTTAATCATATCTTCATGTCTTTGTGTGTGCTGCTAACATCTATCTTTTATTATGTTAAAACTAAAATAACAGTTGTTTTAAAGCTGGTTTATGGTTTTAATATTTCTAATAAATATGTTTTTATATGGTTTTAAAAATTTGGAGTTTTTTTAATAGTATGTCCCTTGAGGTTCTTTCCACAGTGCCTTTATTATTTAGATAGAGCATTATTCTTTTAATGATACATACATTCTCAAACTTCGAAGGTAGTTGGTTGGTTCTGTTCTGACTGCTCTGTTTTGTTTCTTCATCAGGGTTTTAGCAGCATAGAGTGGTCTAGTAAAAGGTGTAAAATGGCAGGGTTGGAGCCAGCATATCACCAGTCCTTAACTATGGTCACCATAAGTTCATATTCTGAAGCCCATTAAAAACACCAAACCCATCAAATGAAACATAAAACTCAAAGTAAATTAGAGTGAAATGTTGTCACCAGCACACATGAGAGATGTTTGATACAGTGCCCTTCTTTCCATTATCTTATTTTGAGTCAGAGTCTCACAATGTAACCCAGGCTAGCCCCAAACTTGCCACCTTCCTGTCTCTGTGAGCTGTGTCTTGGGTTTGCAGCTACTCATCACCACACCTGGCATCATGCCTTTCCCTGCCCTCTCTCTTTTCTGTAAATCTCCAGTGTCTTTGAGAGTCTGATAACTTCATTGTTGAAAAGGGTTTACCAGACTCATCCACCCATTTAAATAGGTAGAAAGACCAAGGCCCAAAGATCTCCAAGGTAATCATATACTCATTGTCTTGGAATCTAACATTGATCAAGAACCCAGACCAATACTGCCTTGTAATGTAAGACACACCTACCCACCCATACACACAAAGACATCATCAGTCCACTATCATCTGCTTATAGTAGAAATTGCATAGCCAGGGAGGCCATTTCAACTTTATATCGTCACAGCAGAATAGAGAATAGAGGCCAGAGGCCAAGGTCAGGAAAGACTTCTTAGGAATGGATATGCCACAAGTCCTGGGGGTTTTGTTTTTCTTTTTTTTCTACTTTCCTTTTATCCTATACATTTTTTTTACTGCTGTGACATAGGGACCTTTTCTAGGGATTGCTCTTGAGAGAAACTCAGAACTGGGTTCATATTTTAAATTTGCTTTTAGAAATGAAGTTTTTTTGGTCTCCTACTGAGAACTCTTAGTGATGATTTTGACTGCATCTCCCAGCAGTCCTCTATGTTTCTAATGTCTCATTTATTTGTTCTACAGTGTGTCTGGTGGAGAACTCTTTGATCGGATAGTGGAGAAGGGATTTTACACAGAGAAAGATGCCAGCACTCTCATCCGCCAGGTCCTGGATGCTGTGTACTATCTCCACAGAATGGGCATTGTCCACAGGGACCTCAAGGTGAGGCATTGCTCAGCAATACCATCCAACTACTTCACAACCCACAATGCACCTGCATAGCCAGAGAGAACTGGCTATGGTGAAGGGATAAGGATGCTTTGGGAAGAGACAGGTGGAATGGGAGGCTGTGTACGTTTTGGGTGTCAGTGCATTGAGGCCCAGAAGTAGCTTAAAAGAGAATGAAAATCAATGCAGCTGGATGCTGTTTAAGACGTTCTGTAGCCATTAGGCAGCCCACAGGGCCTTAGAGAGGTGATTGTGTGTTAATTCAAGAATTTACAAAATAACTTTCTATACATGGCAGGAAAACCATGGAGACTCTCACCCACTGTGCTGGTTAGGTTTTGTGGAGGGGAGGGATGTGATTTTGTTTGCTTGTTTGTTTGGTCATCAGAGAAGAGAGAACCTCAATTGAGAAAATGCCTCCGTAAGATTGATAGAACATGGAGGCAGTTGTGATTAATGATTACTGTGTGAGGGCCCAATCTACTATGGACAGTGCCACCTCTGGGCAGGTGGTTCTGGACTGCATTAAAAAATTAAGCTGAGTGAGCCTTTGAGATCAAGCCAGTAAGCAGCACTTCTCTATGACTTCTGAACCAGTTCCTGCCTCCAGGTTCTTGCCTCCAGGAGTTCCTTCCCTGACTTCCCTCAATGATAGGTTGTGACTGGGGAGTTGTAAGATGAAATAAGCTCTTTCCTACTTAGGACACCCCCCAGTGAAGCACTTCAGAGTCATGTCCCTCATGCAGCCCTTTATAAACATGATAGCCATATAAGAAAGAAGGGAACAGTGCAGGGGACAGTGCAGAAAAAGGCTGGCACTACAATAGGTACTGTAAATGAGGTTACAGGTACAGCTGTCTTCTGGTGTCCTGAACGTTCCTTTGCTCCCCTTCCCTCCCCTCCCCTCCTGTCTTCCCCTTCACTCACTGTCTCTCCATCTCTTTCCCTTTGTTCCTGTTGGTTTTGTTCAGTTGTTTTTTTTTTTAGATAGAATTTCACTAGATAGCCTAAACTAGCGTCAGAATTCCTAATTCTCTGGCTTTAACTTCCTGGGTGATAAGACTGTAAGTCATTGTCTTTTCCTTATGAGGTGTGGGTATACTGATCTTTCACCTATTAGCACTGAAAAGTTTGGGGGCTTATAGTGGCCACCTTAGTATCTTTTCTCTTCCCAGATTTTAGTAGCTGTCACACACAAGGGCTGGAAAGTCAGTGAGAGCAGCGCTGTGTAAAGCCCAGGTTGTGGTGTGACTTCATGCTACAATGTTACAGGTCCAGCCTCCACACTCTACTGAGCGAGACCCGGCACATATGTGGGCCACTCAATATATAAATACAAGGACGGCCTTGCAAGCATGCTGCCCTTAGCAGGAAGCCAGCTAGAGTCAACTATAAACATTGGTTAAACAGAAGTTGAGCACCTATCCATCGTCTGCTCTTGGGCATCAAGGAGTAGAACATTGTAGCTTTCCTTTCATCAAGATCCCTCTTTGGGTTGGGGTGTGGCTTGGTGGCTGAACCTAACATGTGCAAACCCTAGGCTCCATGCCCAGCACCACAGCATTGTTTTATTAAATTTTTTCATTATTTTACATACCAACCACAGATTTTCCTCCCTCCTCTTCTCTCACCTCCACTTGCCTCCCATCTATCCCTTCCCCATTCACCCCTCCTCCCACCAGTACCAAAAAAGCACGGCCCATTCAGTTGAGGTAGGACCACCTTTTAAAAATTAATTTAAAAATGAAAAGATGTACTTTGGAGTTTTCTCTTTCTTGTTCCATGTATCATTTTCCCTCATAATTTTTTTTTGGTTCCATTTTTTTCCTCTTCCCATAGTCCATCTTAGGATCTTCTAGAGCTCTCCTTTCAGAGATGCAAAATTGTTAACCTAAATCCATGTTGGGGAGGTGCTGGAAGGTCAGTAAGATCTCTGTGTCCTGGCTCTGATCAAGCAGGTCTACAGAAGACCCATGAATTTGCCTTTCTAGTGAGTGATAATACCTGCCCGGTGACAGTGACGCCAGTCTGGGGACACCTCTTGAGGAACCACTAAAGAAAGAGACTTAGGAAGGTCAACAAGCTCTTCCAGCCTTTGCCATCTTCTTGCTGGCAAATGGGCTGTTAGTGTGATGAGCTCGTCTTTGGAGCCCTGAGGCTCTCAGAGTAAGAGAGAAGCTAGGTCAGCCATCCCAGTGTCTCCCTCCTTGCCAGGCAGCTCTTCTTCACGGCTCTTTGGTGTCCCCCCACATGCCACCTGGGCTTTGAACCCACAGCTGTTGCTATCTAGCTGTTGCTAAGCAACTTTGTGTTGCGACTTCAGAAATGTGGTGTGCAGGGCCATAGGCACTTTCTAAAAAATCAGTTATAAACAATTAAAATGTATTCAGGAAGAACAGTATTCATATCCTTCTTAAAACATGGGTCAATGGGGTTGGAGAGATGGTTCAGCTGTTAAGAGCAATAGCTGCTCTCCCAAAGGTCCTGAGTTCAATTCCCAGCAACCACATGGTGGCTCATAGCCAATTATAATGAGATCGGGTGCACTCTTCTGGAAGGCAGGCAGTACACTGTATGCATAATAAATAAAAAATCTTTATTAGGAAAAAAGTGGGTCAGCAAGACAGCAGACCATTTTCCACTTCTACCTAAAACTGGTGGCAAGTGCTTGTAGCCCTCAGCCTGGGGAACTTCAAGAACACCAGGCCTTCTGGAAGTACAGCCCATGACAATCAAAAAGAAGGGGAAAGAGAATTTTGACAATTGGGCTCCTTGTGGCAGAATACAGTGGCAGTGTTAGGATTGTAGTATGATCTCTTGTCAGAGGCTTCAAAGAGTTTCATCCATGTGATATTAAATTTTCATCAACTTCTAAGAACTTGAAAACCACCCACAATCTAAGCTACAGCAACAGACAGCCTGATGGTGCTAACAAAAGATATATGTAGGGTATGCAATGTTACCCTAACCCATGAGCACACATGCCCACTTCTCCTTCCAAACAGATGTTCTTATGTCTTGTGGGCCCTGGGAAACTATGAGAGACAACCTAGTGCTCTGTTTTGTTCAAGTACAGGGAGTGAGAAGGGAAGTGTCTGCCACTCCACCATTGAACTTGGATGGTTTCTTAGCTCTGCCCTATTGGTGTTTAGAGATGGAGGACTGTGTGTGGGCAAAAGCTCTGGACCCTGCAGGATGTTTAGCTGCTCCCTTGAATTCTAAATTTCCAGGACCCTTCCTGGAGTATTAGAAACCAAAAATGTCTCTAGGCTTTGCTAAATTTTGTCCACTGGGGGGCAAAACTGCCCCCTGTTGAGAAAACTAGATTCATTGTATTGTTATATGCAACAGTAACTTTCCCAGAAATGTGTTGAGTGAGATCTTTTTAAGGATTATTATATAAAGTATTACCAAGAAAGAAGCTTAATAATCCAATTTAAGTGTTTGCCCACAGTTGTCTTATAGAAATGTCATAATATGCAGCAAAATAATTTTCAGGTGAGATCAGGCCCTTCAAAGGGTCCCCTCCTGGCAGGAAGAACTGTGATATATTAGCCATCTCAGCTCTGCCTCTCTTCTCCCACAAGCCAGGAGAGCCTTACTGCCATTACCAAACCTTGAAACAACTCAAACTATTGATCAAAACAGTGAATATCTAATTGCTTTAACTTACTCTTCTGAGATAACAGTCAGAAAAGCATCTTACTCACTGGAAGGAACCACCTGTTGGAGGAGGTGTGTATGTTGGGTTGGGGTACTTGGCAACCTCTTGCCTGAGGTGAACTTCCTTTGGCAGCATGAGTCACATGCTTACTTCTCCAGCTGCAGAAATCCTGGGGCCAGGCTAGTGGTAGTGGAATAGAGCGCTCTCTTGGCCTCTGTGACTGAGTCTGTCTGTTCATCAATGGATAATCCCTAAACCCATGCATTTTATAAAAGAAACCCCTCCCTCATTTCCCAAGCATTTCAACTGTTTCAACTACAGACTGGCCATTTCATTTTCATTTCAAAGCACCCTTTAGCATTATTTGATTTCTTTCAACTCTCACTCTTCACAAAATTGTCTTGGTGACTTCAGACTCCAATTACTCTTTGTAGCACTACTGCAGGTGACAGAAAATAGTTAAAGAAAAAGATGTTTTGACATTTGTTACAGCAAGAAAGAAGCCTTTGCTGGAGTCTGCTGTGGTAAGGGAGAGAAACTGACCCCAGCTCTGACTCTGAACACAAGAGGAACAAGTGGCACTTGGAGTAGAACAGGGTAGGGTGGAGGACAGCACAGCACCTGATGACTTCTCAGAAGGACAGGTGGATGACTCACACCTCTAAGTGCTCACTGTACAAGCATGAGGACCTGAGATGGATTTGGTCACCAGAACCCTCATACAGAAGCCAGGGATAGCAATGCACACCTGTAATCCCAGCACTGGGAGGCAGAGACAAGAGGATCCCTGCTGGCAGTTGGCAGCCTCCAGACTCAGTGGAAAGACCCTATCTTAATAAATAAATAAATAAACAAATAAACAAAGAAAGAAAGGAAGGAAGAGATGAAAAGCATTTAAAGAAGATCTCCCAGTGTTAATCATAACAGTCATCCTGGATCCATTTAGCACAAAACATTCTTTGACTAAATCTTTTATCACTCACCCTCAATGTCATGTCACCCTGTCTTGTGCCGTAAGTCCTTTCAAATTGGCCTTGCCAATGTCCCCTTACTTACTCACAGTAATGTTCTATCTACTGTCGTGCAACCTGCCCGTGGCTAGAAATTGCCACTTAACCATTGTAGCACTGGAGCTGAATCAGATCCTGCTTCCTATAAAGTCCCATGGTGGTGGTGACAAAGACTACGCAGTGTCCTTCAAAATACGTGAACAATTGCTTCTTTAGCAGCGTCAAAAGCACCCGAGGAAGAATGTGGTCATATTTCAGGGGTAGTGATTCCCTCTAAAGTGAATTCGCTTGATTCAGGCTAGACTGTACTTGGCTGGCCTGGCTAGAGAGAAAGAGGGGCTTGAGAGGCTAAGGTCAAGGCTTTGCCCTGAAAAGGGCTCAGGGGAGCTTGGTCAAGGTTTAGTCAAGGTCAGAGTCTTGGACAGTTCTTACAGTTTCTTCATAGCAGAGACTGCATGCCAGAGTCACTGCTCTCGGGATCCCCTGCCACCCCATCTCAGATCTACCAAAGGATGTTTCTCATCTATTTAATACCCTCACAGATGAACAGTGAATGGTGGTGCACAAAAGACCTCAAAACACTTTCTACACAAGTTTTGTCACTCTACTTGTGATAATTCCTAAAATTCAAGGTGTAGCAACTAAGATTTGCCCCAGAAGCCTGATGAGAGAATATGGCTTTATCCTTGGGCTGGGAGAGTAGCCAGTCTGGAAATGGGGTGGGAAAATGAGCTTCCGTTCCAGGTCCTTCATTCTGCTCTCATTCCTTTATTGCAGACAAGAGCCACAAATACTTATTCACTCAACAAATTTTCAGAACTGTCCTGGTGGTTGGATGTTCCAAGACTGTCCTACTAGTATCCCCCTGAAGGATAGCATCAACTGAAGTCACACAAAACGTAAAAGATAAATAAAAATGCAGGTTCCTCTTCAGTATTGAGTTTCTCAGCCCTGTAGAGATGGTACTAGCCTGAAACAGGTGCATCATGGTACCCATAAACCCCACCCCAGTCCTTGCTAGCACCAATGACAATCCCCAGTTTTGCATAAAACTCTCTGCAAATAATGTTTCATCGTCTGTCCCAAGGAAATCGCTCCTATATGTCACTGATATTGAAAAACCGCAGTGAAGACCCACTGGGCACAGAGATATACTCCTGTAATCTCAGGAGGCTGAGTCAGGAGAATCATAAGTTTGAAGCCTATCTGGAACCCACAGCAAGTTCCAGGCCAGCTTAGACTACATAATAAGACCCTTTATCACAGCAAAATGACACAAACAACAAAGGACTGTAGGTCTGGAAAGTAGACTAAGACATCTGCTGTGTCAAACCACTGTCTGTGCTCTCCCTGTGCTGCGCACAGTGCTGACAAGTAGACACTGTGACCTGTGTGTGGCAGAAAGGCAGCCAGAAGAGGGGAGTCTAAGGACACATTACAAGGAAGTGCTGCTTTTGTTCCCAAGGTTCTCCCCCTTCCCTTGGCAGGGGCGTGAGCAGGTAGAGGATGATCTCAGCAAGGTGCAGTCCATCTGGCAGGACTGCAGCAGGACAGGAGGTTGCTAAGAGCCTTGCATCACAGCAGAGTAACCTGCAAGTGTCTCTAGTTTCTCTCTCTCTCTCTCTCTCTCTCTCTCTCTCTCTCTCTCTCTCTCTCTCTCTCTCTCTCTCTCTCTCTCTCTCTCTCTCTCTCTCTCCAAATCCTGAAAATGTGGTTTCATCTCCAGGGAATCCTGTTCTCCTATTGAATAACTGAAATGACAAAAGTCTGAGAGCCATCCGCTTTTTAGGTTCCCTCAAAATGTGGTTTTTCTTTTTAAGGAGACAAAAATACTGGTAAAAGAAAAGAATAACATTGAAGACTTGCTTGTGCCAAATGCTCTGCAGGGCCCTCTGTGGCCTGCTTTGGGAGCACTGCTGTTTTAATTGGCATCTATTGACTTAGGCGTTGTCTATGTCTAAAGGTCATGGTTGTGTTTCATTGTGAGAGTTGATGAGTCTCCGTAAGTAAGGCAGCTCAATAAATGTGCCTCCACTCTTCAGTTGTTCGCTTGCTTGCTTTCAGTTCTGGGGATTGAGTCCAGGGCCTCTTGCAGTGAAGCAAGCCCCCTATCACTGAGCTATACATCTCCAGTCCTCATTTTATTTCTTATTTAGAGAGACACACTCTCCTAAGTAGCGGGGGTGATAGGTATACACTCCAGGTTCGAATTACTATCTCTAAGTTGTTTTTGTTTTGTTTTCTCTAGCCTGAAAATCTCTTGTACTACAGTCAAGACGAGGAGTCCAAGATAATGATCAGTGACTTTGGCTTGTCAAAAATGGAGGGCAAAGGAGATGTGATGTCCACGGCCTGTGGGACCCCAGGCTATGTCGGTAAGGACAGTGTATGAATGTGTGCATGCATGTGTGTCCCCACGAAGTTGGGTTGTCTCCATGGCAATATCATCTTCCTCCTGAAGTCTTGGAGCCCAGCACATATCACAACTGCCTGCATTTCCCTTGAAGGAAAGATAAAAATACTGAGAGATAGCATAGCAAGTTAGCATCAAAGTGATTCCCTGAAACCTTTTAACAGTTGGGTGGAAATCCTGTTTGATTTGGTTATGGGCCCAACTAGAGTCTGAGAGCAAAATGGGATGGAATCCCAGGTTCTAATACCAGAATTATTGTACATGTCTATTTTTGGATGATTTACACTGAAGCATTGAACATGTAGTAAGGTGCGGGCAGACTCAATAAAACATGCAAATATTGACATAGATGCAGCCAGAGAGGACATATTTATATGAAAGAAGCCATAAGTAAGTCATTCTCTCAAGTCTACTCACCCTGATCGGTACAGGCAAAGCCAGGGGTTATGATAGTTTTTCCTAAAATAATAACTGCACCTTTTTTACCTGCTACTAATAAAAAATGCAGAGAAGGCTACCGACAGCTGTGAACAGTTGGTCACTGAGATTCAGCTTCTGTTTTGTGGAGAAAGCCCACGGGAACTTTGTTAGCTTGCTGTTACTATAAGAAACTCCTGACACAATCATCTTATAAACAGAAAGGTTAATTGTGCCCGGTGGCTTTGGAGGTTTCAGACTGTGAGTGATTGTTGGGCTTGCAGCAAAGCACACACCATGGCAACAGTATCTGGTAAAACCATTCACCATGTGGTTGGGACATGAAGGGGGAAAGGATGGGATATTAATAACCCCTTCAAAGGTGTAGCCCCAACGACTGGGAAACCTCAGAATAGGCCAACTTCAGTGTTCTGCCATCTCCCCAAAACATCACATGCTGGAGACCAAATCTCCACATATGAGCCATTAGGGAACGCTTATCCATAAAACTGTTCATATCAGTGTATTCGATCACTTATCAAATGTGTATTCAGAGCCTACTGTGTCCCCAGCACTGTTTTGATGGGACTCTTCTCTGCCTTCATGGAGATGGCTTGGTAGCTGAAACAAGAGACCACAAAAAAGAAACAAATGGGCAAGGGCATTTCTGATTGTTGTGCTGAGGGAAACAAAGCCAGGAGAATTCAATCGATACTGACGGGGCTTAAGGAGCATTTAGGGCTGTGTTGAGAGAACTGAGGTTTGGGCCTTCACCTGGATGATAGAAAACAATTGGCCACCTGGGAGTTAGAGAAGAGGGGTCATTCTACTAGGCAAAGAAGCTTGGTAAAAAGGCAAAAGCAGAGACAGGGCAAGAGGAGTATGTCTGTGGGGTGAGGTTGGAAAATGGAGAACAAGGCTGAAACCTCATATAAACTTTGAAGGTCTTTCTTTGTGAGAGCAACATGTGTACTAGGCATGATGGCACATTCTGGCATTCCCAGCACTGGGGACTGGGGAATAGGGAAGTAGGAAGAAATTGATTTTGAGACCAGTCTGGGATATATAGTAAGATCCTGTCAAAAACAGACAAACAAGAACAACAACAAAACAGAGGAAGAATTGGAAGAGGTGATAAAGGAAAAGGGAGAGACCAGGAGGGGAAGTAGAGAAGGAGAAAAGAAGGGAGGAGGGAGGGGAGGAAGGAGAAAAGAGTGAGAGGGAGGGCAGAAGAAACACTGTGAACCTCCCTAAAGAAGGGAGATTAGTATTACACAGCCTACACCATTCCCATGAATCTTCAGGTAACAACTCGGGAACCTTTCCAATAGGCTGAGGAGATTCATCCTAAAACCTATTGGTCTAGAGACAGCGAACACTGTGGGTCATTCCAATGATCTTGCTAGCACTCCATGGTGTTTCAAGTCCTTGCATAATTACATTCTCATATCAAAATTGATATGGCACTGCGGTTTCATTTTCCTAGTTGCATAGAGGAGTGAAGCAAAGAGCCAGCAGAGGGGAATGGTGCATAAGATGAGGGAAGGGAAAGGAGGAAGAGATTTAGGAGGATGGGCTCCTCACCAAAAGGATGTGGCACACAGAGGCTGTGGGAGATGACACCAGTGGGACTCATGTCCCCGATTGTGAATATGCACTGACTGATTTTAAGAGGTGTTAAGAGAAGCTTTTTCTTTGCTAGCCGCTTTGGTTTATCACCCGCCAGTCGCCTGGGCTCTGCCACATTGTAGTCCCCAAATAAACACACAAGACGCTGTATTAATTATGAAGCTGTTGGCCTTGCTTGTCTCTTACTGGCTAGCTCTGCCTTAAGTAATTACCCCATAATTGCTAATCTAAGTATGTCTCTTACCGGAGAGGTTTCCGGGCTTCCTACCCCAATGGCGTTACATCTCGACTCTTGTGTTTCTCCTTCCCAGAATCCTCCTGGACTCCTAGTCCCTCCTATCTAGATTCCCTATTGGCCAGACAGTGCTTTATTGGCATAAGACTTCCCCAACAAAGAGGCCATAGAGACTCAAGAGAGGGATGGATGGGCCAGCCAGCAGTCACTGGTCTTATGAAAGTGAGGACAGGAGGGACCTTGGAATGTGGGGACTGTGGAAAGCGAGTCATGTGAGATACGTACAAGCTCATTTGTAGCTGGAGAAAAATGCAAGGGTATGTGGCATGTGTATGCAGTTTCTCCTGTGTGTGGTCTACACTATCTGGCAAGCAGCAAGGAAATTAATGGAAGGCATATCCTTGGAAAGATGAGGGACTCTGACCAGGCTTTTGCCTTCTGGCTTTTGAGCGGCGACCTAACTGCTCTTACAGGGTATTCTCACACACATGTGCGCCTAGCTGTCCTCATATTAACCCACACACACTGGAGAGCTCTAATGCTTCCTAGATTGCTTCTTGGCCACTCTGTGTGGCTGGCGGTCTCCCTGTTTACGGTGGCCATGCCTGCATAGTTTGTTTCAATTTGTTGCTGTGGCTAGAGCTGATTTATTTAGGGACAGTGTATGAAGTGTACACTTGAAGGGTAGGTAAGCAAGCCCTTGTGCGATTTTGTTGTCAGCTACAGAGTGCTCTGAGAACAATAGTCATACAGCTACTGATTTTGGTCGTATTTACTGAGGACCCAGAGTGAAACAGGCTCAGGTCTCTATGGTCTTTGGACAGTCAGCTAAAGTGGATCTTCCCCTGCCCCAGTCTCCATGTCAATCTCCTATGCATCCATCAAAACCCAGCTGAAAGGCTACCCTCTTCTGGTTGCTGTCCTGCCTCATCCTCTCCTTCAGTATCCTAATTCCTTCCTTCCCCCTTCTCAAAACTCTGACTATGATCACATTGAATATGGGTCCCTGTCTGTTTGTCTCTTCACTGCACTATGGTTTTTCCTCCATCTTTGTACAGAGGCATGCCGAATTGCAGACACAGAGCAGAGGGCCCATGGATATTTTTCTCTTTTCATTAATTCATTTAATACACAGTTATTGAATTCTAAACTATGCACTGTGGACAGTATTTGGTGTTCACAAATGAATGTGAATAGGGTAGAGATTCTGACTCAAAACAGTGTTGTGAGAGACAGAAGCCAGCAGGTAAATTTAATAATAGTGATATACTTATGGTGGCACATGCCTGTCACCCCAACACTTGAGAAGTGGAGGCAGGAGAATTTCAAATTTGAGGCCAGAATTAATTATTTAATTTCTGCCTTCTGTTTGAGGTATTCTAGTAGAATGAAAAAAATTTAGGAGAAAGAAAAAACAAAGCAGGCAGAAATCCTCTCTCATGTCCTAACATTTAGACAGAAGGATTATAGGCAAATAACTAAGTAAATTCATTCCTCAGTTAGTTCAGTAACATGGATAAGGGGTGTGTGTGTAGAACTTGAGCATGCTGGTAGAAGCCAGAAGACAACCTCAGGTGTGACTCCTTAGGTCCATCCACCTTGTGTTTTGAGACAGTGTCTCTCATTGGAACCTGGGGGTGGGGGTGTCAGCTATGCTGGATTGAGTGACCAGCAAGCCCAGAGATCCTCCCACTGCCTCCCAAGTTGGGTTTACAAACTTTCACTGCCACACCTGGTTTCTTGTGAGTAAACTAGGGGTAGAGTTCTCATCCTCAGACTTGCACAGCACACATTTTATTGACTGCGCCATCTTCCCTGCCCCCTCCTTATCCTTTTATAAAAGGGAGATGTGGCCCATGGAGACAGTGTCACTAAGGGGTGATTGTCAACATCACTCCATCCCTGGCACAGAGGTCCTATTGCATGCAGCCTCCATGGTTTATTCCATCTAACCCCAGGACAGTGTGACAAGGTATATAGTACAAGATGCATGTATGATTATGTATTTCAAATGCAGCATAACTAGTGTATTTCAGGAGCAAACTGTAAAGTCCTGGCAAGAAAGAGGGGTCATCAGTAGCTAGCACAACCAAGAAGAAACTTCTGGAAGAACTGAAGGAAAGTGGAACTCAGGCAAAGACAAGGAGAGTTACAGTTGCCACAAAAGCCCTGAAATTCTCTCTGCTGCTCTCTGTTTGAGAAAGAACCACACTCCTTTAGTTTGGAGAACAGGCTGCTGCAAATGTCTTTATGATAATGATAATGAGGGGAAATTATTGGCCCACCTGGTGGCAATGAGCTGCTCAGAGGAGTGTGATATCTGTCAATGTGGCACAGACCTAGATGTGGAATCTGTTTAAGTCAAGTGTTCCATTCTCCTTGATACTACCAACAAGAGACAAAGTCAGAACTAAGAAATTTATCAGTTAGAATGCCTGATCTGTAGAATTAATTAAAATACCCCAATGGGTCCCCTGAGGTCACTGAGAATGTGATATAAGGCATCCATCTCAACCATGGAACTGATAAAGAGTGTGGTGGTGTGTGTTGAGTGTGTGTCTGTGTATATCTGTGTTTGCGTGTGTATTGCGGGGTATGTGAGGGGCATGAGTGTGGCATGGTGCATATATGTGTGTGTGCATATATGTGTGTCTGTGCATGCGTGGGCATGTGTGCTTGCT